TAGATGACACAGAAGAATGGATCACTGAGCTAGAGGAAAGAGTAGAGGAAATCACCCAAGCTGAACAGAAAAAAAAAAAAACAATTAAAAAGAATGAGGACAGTCTAAGGGATCTCTGGGACAACATCAAATGCACTCACATCCATATTATATGTGTCCCAGAAGGAAAAGAGAGAGACAAAGGGGCAGAGAACTCATTTGAAGAAATACTAGCTGAAAACTTCCCTAACCTAAGGAAAGAAATAGACATCCAGGTACAGGAAGCACAGAGGCCACCACATTAGATGAACCCAAAGAGGCCCACATCGAGACACATTTTAACTAAAACATCAAGAATTAAAAATAAAGAGAGAATCCTAAAAGCTGCAAGAGAAAGGCAACAAGTTACATACAAAGGAAACCCCATAAGGCTATCAGCTGACGTCTCAGCAGAAGTCTTACAGGCTAGAGGGAGTGGAACAATATATTCAAAGTGCTGAAAGTAAAAAAAAAAAGCCAAGAATACTCTACCCAGCAAGGTTATCATTCAGAATGGAAGGAGAGATAAAGAGTTTTCAAGCAAAAACTAAAGGAGGTTATCACCAATAAACTGGCCTTATAAGAAATGTTAAAGGGACTTATTTAAGTGGAAAAGAAAAGACCACAAATAGCAATAAGAAAATTATCAAAGAAAAACAATCACTAGTAAAGGCAAATATACAGTAAGTGTAGCAGATCACATAAAGCTAATAGGAAGGTCAAAAGATGAAAGTACTAAAATTATCTATTTCCATGATAAGATGTTAAGGGATACACACACAAAAGAGGTTAAATATGATATCAAAAACATAAAATATGCAGAGAGGGAGTAAAAGTGTAGGGCTTTTAGTAAGAGGTCAAACTTAAGAGACCATGTACTTAATATAGATTGCTGTTTATATAGGTTATTATACATGAACCTCACAGTAATCACAAAACAGAAACCTATAATAAATACACAAAAAATTAAGAGAATGAAACCCAAACATAATACTAAAGAAAGCCATCAAATCACAAGGGAAGAGAGCAAGAGAAGAAGAAAGGAACAGAGAAGACCTACTAAAAGACCCAGAAAAAAAGTAACAAAATGGCAATAAGTATATACTTATCAACAACTACTTTAAATATCAATGGAGGGGGCCAGCCCTATGGCATAGCAATTAAGTGTGCACAGTCTGCTGCTGGTGGCCCAGATTCGGATCCCAGGCATGCACTGATGCACTGCTTGTCAGGCCATGCTGTGGCAACATCCCATATAAAGTGGAGGAAGATGGGCATGGATGTTAGCCCAGGGCCAGTCTTCTTCAGCAAAAAGAGGAGGACTGGTGTGGATGTTAGCTCAGGCCTGATCTCCCTAACACACACACTCACACACACAAAATAATCAATGGACTAAATACTCCAACCAAAGACATAGGGTGGGTCCAGCCCGGTGGTGCAAGTGGTTAAGTGTGCGCGCTCCACTGTGGGGGTCCGGGGTTCGCTGGTTCAGATCCCGGGTGCGTACCAATGCACTGCTTCTCAGGCCATGCTGTGGTAGGCGTCCCATATAAAGTGGAGGAAGATGGGCATGGATGTTATCCCAGGGCCAGTCTTCCTCAGCAAAAAAAAGAGGAGGATTGGCAGATGTTAGCTCAGGGCTGATCTTCCTCACACACACACACAAAAGACATAGGGTGGTTGAATGGATAAAAAAACAAGACCCATATATATGCTGCATACAAGAGACACACTTCAGACCTAAAGAAATTCACAAATTGAAAATGAAGGGATAGAAAGAGATACTCCATGCAAATGGCAATGAAGAGAAGCTGGGGTAGCATACTTATATCAGACAAAATAGACTTTAAAATAAAAACTGTAACAAGAGACAAAGAAGGGCAATACACAATAATAAAGAGAATGATCCAATAAGAGGATATAACACCTGTAAATACCCATGCACCCAATATAGGAGCACCTAAATATATAAAGTAATTATTAACAGACATAAAAGGAGAAATAGTAACACAATAATAGTAGGGGATTTTAACACTCCACTTATATCAATATCATTCAAATAGAAGATCAATAAGGAAACAGTGGCCTTAAATGACACATTAGACCAGATGGACTTAGTAGATATGTACAGAACGTTCCATCCAAAAGCTGAAGAATACACATTCTTTTCAAGTGCACATGGAACATTCTCCAGGATAGATCACATATTAGGCCACAAAACCAGTCTCAATAAATTTAACAAGACTGAAATAATACCAAGCATCTTTTCTGACCACAATGGTGTGAAACTAGAAATCAACTACAAGAAGAAAACTGGAAATGTCACAAGTACGTGGAGATTAAACAAAATGCTCCTGAACAACTATTGGATCAATGAAGAAATCAAAGGAAAATTCAAAAAATACATGGAGACAAATGAAAATTAAAATACGACATATCAAAATTTATGGGATACAGCAAAAGTGGTACTAAGAGGGAAGTTTATAGCAATATAGGCCTCTCTCAAAAAACAAGCAAAATCTCAAGTAAACAATCTAACAGTGCACCTAAAGGAAGTAGAAAAAGAAGAACAAACAAAGCCCACGAACAGTAGAAGGAAGGAAACAAAAATCAGAGTGGAAATAAATGAAATAGAGACAAAAAAAAAAAAAAGAAAAAATCAATGAAACTAAGAGCTGGTTCTTTGAAAAGATAAACAAAATTGATAAACTTTTAGCTAGACTCACCAAGAAAAAAAGAGAGAAGGCTGAAATAAGTAAAATCAGAAATGAAAGAGGAAAATTATAACACACACCTCTAGAAAAAAAAGGATTATAAGAGAATACTACAAAAAGCTATACACCAACAAATTGGATAATCTGGAAGAAATGGATAAATTCTCGGAATCATACAACCTTCCAAAACTGAATCAAGAAGAAATAGAGAATTTGAATAGAGCAATCACCAGTAAGGAGATCAAAACAATAAACAAAAACCTCCCAAAAAACAAAAGTCCAGGACCAGATGGCTTCCCTGGTGAATTCTACCAAATATTCAAAGAAGACCTAATACGTATCCTTCTCAAACTCTTCCAAAAAACTGAAGAAGAGGGGAGGCTTTTTTTTTTTTTTTTTGGTGAGGAAGGTCAGCCCTGACCTAATATCCAATGCCTATCCTCCTCTTTTTTGCTGAGGAAGATTGGCCCTGGGCTAACATCCGTGCCCATCTTC